TGGATTCAAGATAAATTAATGTTTATTAAATAATTCAATTTAATTATTTGTGATTATAGGTATGGTTTCAGAACCGCAGGGCTAAGTGGCGCAAGCACGCAAGGCTTCAAATAATTCAAGACGCATGGAGAATTCGCTGTATGGGTTTGAACACACAATCGCTTTTGTTGGGTAAGTCAACTTTTGAAAATCTCAATTATAAACAGATTTTTTTCAATGAGCTGAAATCAATTATCAGGTCGTCAAGCACCAGAGGGAACAACTCGTTTGGCGGACGATAAAGAATCTCCTCCAACTCCTCCAACCCAATCAACTGTAGTCTCTTCACCCACCCATGTACCAGGAAGTTACCGAATGCTTCAAAAGTATGGTTATAAATCCCCAGACAATAAATATAATTTGAAAATATATTAACACGCACACTTTTAGTTTTCAAGTAACAGAAAGACCACCATTAGTTGGACCGCCAACAAATACAATTACTACCAAATTGTTCTGCCCGTATTCTTCTACTGGTAAGATTATTTATTAAATAATTTACAATTCCTGATTGAAAAAATAACAACATATTATATTCTGTAATTCAAATAAAAATATAATAAAGTATGTAATCAAACTGCTCTTAAAATACCTAAAAATTATGACATAATAATATAATTTATTTTTCTAAAAAAATTGTTAATTGAACTTCAGATTAATTTTGATTATAGTTCAACATCTGCAATATATAACACTTGAATACTTGATAATGTATCTACTTACTTGATCAATGATTATAAGCTTTTAATCTGAATACTCATTTACTATACTGCTATACAATCGTTATCATGTATAGTAATAGATATTTATGTATAACTTATGAAGGTACAATGTATTTTCATTTTATACGTAATATAACTATTAGTTTTTGGATGTATTTATTCCGTTAAATTATTTTTACCCTTAATTTATTACCAACTATACAGGTAGAAACTCATAATAAACTTATTGAACAATTCCTCTGTTTATTAGTTTTTTAAAAATGACATTATTGAATATATTGAGATATGTCAGATATTACCTATATTATAAAATATTATATTTATTTTATATTACCCATTTTCAGAAGATGACATTTCAAATAGACGTTCAGCTCATCACCAGGACACTAGATCGGACATGAATGGAAACCTATCTTTGATGGTAGGTTCTGTTGATTTAACATGCTCAAAATCTCGGTCTACCAGTCCTGAAGAAGAAAATGACATAAACGTAAATGATTAAATACATTTTAATCAGAATAAATAATTAAGAACGACAAAATGCAATTTACTTTAAATTTAAGTCCTAGTCAAAAATAATATGTACAGTTTAAATAACAATAATTTCTAATAAATATAATTAATTATATACTTAAAAAATATAAATTAATCATAGTATTTCACTCTTTATTATCATAAATTATTATATTAAAAAATTAAATGTATATATTATAAATACATATTAAACAAATAAGTGAGTAATCTTTAGACAAAATTGTTTACTTACTTTAATATAAGTACCTAATCTTTTTAAACTGTAATATTATATATTAATATATTTTTATTTATATATTGATTTACTTTTTACAAAAGCAACTATAATAGAATAATAATATGTCTTAATATGCAAATTTTACTTGTGTACCGGCAATATCAGAATTAAGAAATATTATTTGTTTCTTCTTATTTCTATGAATAAATGTAAACTTTACTTTAAACTTATAAGTACGTCATTCTTTATTAAAAAAATACACTATTATTTATTGTTGTTGTCATTTAAATTGTTGAAGAATAAATTTATATGATTATCCATATTATATACATTAATCGTATATATTATAGACGAATCGTTGCTATAATGATTTAATAGATACATGGTATTTGGTAATTAAACTTTAAATAAGTATTCAAAAATCAAGTAAGATAAGTAGGTACTTAGTACTTACTTAATAAACTTTAATTTTACATCTATAATGCAGGTTTATCATCTCAATTATAATAAAATAATAAACGTATAAATTACTTATTTGTTTGTCAAAAATATACGAACAATTATACTATTAATTATACTTGCACAAAGAAATAGATTTTAAACAAATATTATCTACTATGTATTATGATTTAAATTTCCTAAAACTCAAGTATTTGCTATTGTTCGCAAACAATCGAACTGATTAGTTATCGTTATCATTATTACATTATTCAATACGCCCTTATATACTTTTTACCAATTTACCCCTATGACTAAAAATTAAGATTGTCATTGATTACCCGTTGACGCGTTATAGTGGTCTATTGGTCCAATGTCCACATAATAAGTAGGAAATAAAATTTAAAAAACTTGGCAGTTAATTTAAATTTTAAACATTACATACATGTACCATTTATTTTATTTTTTCCTTTTTTAACCGACGACACAGCGGGAATGCTTTCGCGGTACTTCCAAATTACATGTTCAGTGGGGCATTATCTTCTTTAAGAATATATAAAAATAAAAAAAAAAGGGTAGGTAAATGTATTTATGTAAAATGTTGGAGTTTATAATGATGGATTAAATTATTGAATAGAGAATAATATGTAAATTGTTGTTTCTGGGGTAGGTGTATTGGTATTATCTATATTAGGTAGTGTAATCATTGATTATACATAGAATAGTATTATACTATGTATAATCAATGGTGTAATATATAAAATAACAAATTATTTTATTAGGTAGGTTATTTATTTTGATTGCGTTTAGAGGTTAAATAGAAACCTGACATAAACGCTTTACAAATAGTTCATTATTGTTTACATAATAAATATTATACCTATACATCTGAGTAAATAATTTACATTTACTTTTACACCTGATGAAGTAATCTATGTGTTTCACAACTTCTTATATCACTGATATTAATATGTAAATATTTAATTCGGTTAAAGAATATATATATAGGTGGTAACAGTGCCGTAAAGGGCACAGCTTTTATTGGGGGGGGGGTAGCAGTGGAACACTTAATTATTTCTCTATTTTTTGCAATGTTAGAATACCTAATTTACCTATTACTATGTATGATCCCTTTGTTCTTAAAATGTTTACTACACTTTTTGCATATATTACTGCACAATATGTATTTTGTTAGCAACTATACTATACTATACTATACTATACTAATATACTATACTATACTATACTATACTATACTATACTATACTATACTACATAAAGGTTTAATACAATATAAAGCAAGCAATGGCTGACCTTGCACAAATGGGATAGCTAATAGATAACAAAGTAGATTATCATGAAGCTAATGATATAACTTATGAGACTCTTTTGTACACTACACTACATTATGACAGTGTACCACAAATGAAAAAAGATTTATTTGATTTCGTGGATTTTGAGGATTTTGGGAGAAGGAAGACACTTGCCCCCTACGTCACTGATAGGTAAGTATTATATACCATGTAGTACCCTCAAAGTCAATATTAATTGTAAACTATGAGTTACGTAAATATTGAGTAGGTACTTAATTACTTAGAAATACCTACTTATTAGATAAAACAAATTTTTAATTGCTTAACAATGGGTCAGTGGTTTAGAATGTATTTGATTACGAACAATTCTTTTAAATATGCACAAAAATTTGTTAAATAATAATGAAATGGTAACATTCCTCCCCATTTGTTATTTACATAACAGTGATCCGTAAGTGAACAGTTATCAACGTAAATTAATTTCCATAATCCCAATAACATTTTGTTTTAATTGATAAAGTAGAAAAAAATATTTCTCTAAGTATTATTTCATGTTGTTGTTGATCTATATTGACTTAGCTATTTTTACATAACATACAAACATATACATATATACTATACTACTATAGTATAAACTATAAAGATTATAATATAAATAAATCCATTATATATTTTACGTCACTACGAGTTTTTCTATGCCCATAGTCCCATAATTCAGTGAATAGAATAGAAACTACTGAACAAAAAAATATATCAAAAGTTATTAGCTTACCATCATTATTCATTAATGATGTAAGGACCTACACCACAATACAACATCTCCAGACAGCAATCATTTGTAATGATAATAATATGATAATATTATATAATAAAATTGTTGTATAAAAAATTGGTACCTGGGCCCTGAGGACTACATGTAAAAGTGGGAGGTAGATTGTTGTGGACGAATCACCTTCTAGTGTATGATAATATACTGGTTTCAAACTGAAATCGTCTCACTTTAGATCATATACCTTGGTACCATGGACAGAAGAAGAAGTTGGTTAATATAGTTTATGGGAGAACGTCGCATTAAATGTAAGTAAAATGCTAAAATGTCTAAATTTATGTTGTTATTATTTTTATTTTTTTTCAGTATAACAATAACAATAAGTAACATAAATTAAAAAAATATGATTGTTATTACTTTTTGATCATTCTTATAAGTTAATATAGGTACCTATTAATCAAAACTATAAAAAGCTAAATTCTACATAATTACTCGCTAAAAATGAGGTACCATTGTTTTTTTTTAAATAACTCTTATTAAAAGATGATATTCTCCAAAAAGTACATAATATTCACTGCCAATGTCTATGTGACTACCTATAATGAATAATGATATCCGTATTTATAATTTATACGCATGAATAATGAGTTTCTTATATTATATTATGTTGATTTTTGAGCTGTAAAACCGTTTTTAATATTTTATTAATTGTACTCGTTAATTTTATAAAATAGGACTCTCAGAATAGTACAACCACGCAATTATTCTTATGAAATATAAAATTAATAGGTATTTAAGTTTTTAATTAGATAGCATTCTACAGTTTCTATTATTTACAAATTTAAATATTTGTAAAATTACAATAGATACGTGAGTACCTAATTGTATTTGTATAATTGTCATGTGTCATTTATATCTACTGTTATTTATAATAAACGGTTTTCGCATATTTAAACAGAATACAAAACATGGGAAGCTGGGCATATTATATTACATGCGTACTACTTGTATTTCACTTCTTTGCCACTAATGAAGCTGCAGCCGAAGACAGCTTACCATTCATCAGGTAATTTAAAACTTAAAATGTGAAATACCTAATAACAGTATAATAGATTATTAGTAGCAATGACAACAAATAGATGGCTAGGTACCTACTACCTACCTAGGCATTGTCATTAAACGTTGAATGAGGATAATCATAATTATTTTTAAATTTATATTTATGCCTTATGGTCTAATACTTTAACGACACAGTTGAAGACTGAAAATATACTAATATAAATAATCATAAACGTATAATAGATTTATAAAGCCACACTATGCATTATCTTAAAATTAAGTACCTAGGTACAAGGTATTTATTGATTCAATCACTATAGTTTAGGTATGTTTTTTGATAAAATATGGGTGTCTAAACATTATAATATCGGTACCTATCGTTAGAGGGTTATACCAATAACACATTTACATGCCTACTAATAATTAGAAATTATTTTTCATGTTTCTATTTACTTTAACTATCGGACAATAACTTTTGTTTTTAATTTGTATAATGTAAAATCGCTGTTGGTGATGAAATATGAAATTATGAGAAATGTATTGATTTTAAACTTAATTGAGATACTTGACCATATTTTAAGCCCTGATCACATTTCTATTTTCTAAATAGTTGATAAATAATTAGGTGTACGCCTATATAGTCAATACAAAAACATGTAAATCACTAATTACTAATTAGTAATAACATAGTATAGCCCTATAGGCACACGGTAATAATTTTTAACTATTTTTATACTGATTTCATACAATATAATAATCAACAATATATATTATGTATCTATACGTTTTTTTTTTATTTAAAGTAAGCTTTACAAATGCGTGAACAATAAGTGTATAATAAGTGAATTTCAAGACGAAAGGAAGGAAACAAATGAAGTCAATGAATCAATAGACGTTTGCCGGTTAACCTGCGGGCAATATGGGTCACTTTGGCCGAGGCCGACTAAAATTACTAGTATAAAGTAAAAACAAATATCATACTTATTAGTTACTAAAACTAAAAAAATAAGCAAATGTTACTAATTTAGTTATGTTTTGGTACCTATATGTAATATAAAATATTGCTTATTTTAATAACAATGTGTAGAGATCCAGTGATTAAATTTGGGCTTGACAATGTTGTATTTAACGTATCATCGGTGGCCGACGAATTAGGAAAACAATACATGACTGAAGTATCTCAAGTTTTAATGTCATCGTTAAAGAAAATTTGTGAGCCACGATGTATTCCGTACGACAACAACCTGACTGTGTTCATAACCACAGCCACTCCTTTTACCAATATTAAGCTGTCGACAAACGAAAGTTACGAATTAAACATTTTCACCAATAATTGTAAGACGTGTGTTATATAATTATAAATGTTTCGGATCCGTTGATAACTCACACAATGCAAATTTTTTTTTCTCTAGTGACCCAAATAACGGCAAACATTACAGCACGAACCGTGTACGGTGCTAGAAACGGATTGGAAACATTACGACAGCTAATAACGACGTACGGCCGGCCTAAATTTGAAGGCAAGACACTGGTGATAGCTGGAGACGTACAAATTGTCGACGACCCAGCGTACGCATATAGAGGATTCATGCTGGACACCTCGAGGAATTATTTCCCACTTTCGGCGATCAAAAGGACAATCGACGCTATGGGTCATTCCAAACTCAATGTATTCCATTGGCACGCCACCGACTCTCATAGTTTCCCATTGGATTTGCCTAGTGCTCCGCAAATGGCAAGGTGAGACGTGATCATAATGTACAACTATATTTTATCGGCATTATACCGAATGAATGATAATATAATGACGTATCATATATACTGATGCTATAGCCGTAAAGTTATAGTGAAATTGTATCGACAAGTATCGTGATAGACATATCACATGTATAAAATAGAGCCCAGTCAATATGTGATACGGTGGATATCGTAATTAAAATAATTAAACACTAAAAATATCGGTGCATATACTATATATAGTTGCCTCCCAAAACATACGAATTGCCTCCCAGCCTTTTCGTAAATAAAAAAGTTGATATTATATACACTATATAGTTGCCTCCGATCATCGGGTAGTTCATAATTTATTATTGTATATAGGTACGAGAATTTTTACACTCGTTGCCTTCGGTATAGAATTAAGTAGTGGCCATTACTCATTGTAGGAAAGTGCGATAATTGAATAGATAAAATATTTGAAATAAATATAAATATAACAAAACTGCAGTGATTATATTTATCCAGCCGAGTTAATTCAATTTTATGAATTACGAAAAATAAATAAATAAATAATGCCGTTGCGTGTATATTATAGATATGGTGCATATAGTCCCGAAAAAATATACTCGTATGCAGAAATCAAAGATCTCCTGAGGTACGCATTAGTTAGAGGTGTTAGAATAGTTATGGAAATCGATTCACCAGCGCACGCAGGGTATGGATGGCAATGGGGCAAAGATTCCGGTTTCGGGGACATGGTGATTTGTCTGGGTAACCACCCATGGCAGGATTATTGTGTACAGCCACCGTGTGGACAACTTAATCCAATAAACAATCACACTTACACGTGGTTAGGAAAAATATACAAAGATTTGATCGACGTATTTCCCGAAGGAGAAGCATTTCACATGGGTGGCGATGAGGTAATTTATTTTATACTGTTTTACCAGTATCAAATTCCATTGGAAAAACCATACATTTAATTTTAAAATCCTGCTTCTTACGTATACAGGTTGCTGTAAGGTGTTGGAACACAACAGCCGAAATTGTCGATTGGATGATGTCTAATAAACGAGGTTTAACTGAAAGCGCATATATGGATCTATGGTCCGAGTTCCATAATAAAGCCTTAGCTGTGTACGACCACGAAGTAGGCAATTCAAATTCGGAAATAATTGTTTGGTCTAGCGGATTGACTGATCCCAATATCATAGAGAAACATCTCGACAAAAAACGATATACTATTGAAGTTTGGGAAGGAAATACAGATGCTGTTAACTTAGCAAACTTAGGTTATAGAGTGATTGTGGCCGTAGAAGATGTCTATTACCTGGATCATGGATTGCGGCCTCCAACCACTTACCATTCGTGGAAGGTTATTTACAACAACAAAATGCCGATGACCAATAATCCCAATCTCATTTTAGGGGCAGAAGTAATACAGCCGAAATAATATTTAAAATAAACAAACGGCAATGTAGTATAAATTCCATTAATTTTTCTAGACTAGTATGTTTTCCGAATTCGCTGATGATTTTAATTTGGATATTAAAGTTTGGCCAAGAGCTGCAGCTTTAGCTGAGAGATTATGGGCGGATCCGTCCACTGACGCTTTGGCAGCCGAGTACAGGTAACGAATAATTTATTATTACTTTACAACAATAAATAACAAATAATACGAAACTATAATAGTAAATATTTTTTACATTTTAGGCTATTGCAACACCGCGAACGACTTGTATCATTAGGAATCAGTCCGGATAGAATGACTCCAGAATGGTGTAATGATCGTGAAGGCGAATGTATTATTAGTTATTGATTATTCAAATTGTTCACTAACTAATGACTAGAAAATAAGTACCTATCCAAATAATAAAATAGACTTATTGTTACGATCTTTCGAATTCCAATCATAATATGTAGTTTCAAGTAGGTATTTAATAATTATACGATATACTATAATATAGAAAATCTTAACTATACCTACATTATACATTCTCGGCAATAAAATTGCAGTAGATCGTATTATTTTTTTTTTATATCTGACGGTGCATTTTTTAAAGCATTATAATTTATAAAGTTGTGAATACCTAGTAAGAAATCTCCCTAAAATGTATAGTAAAAACACATTCCCAGACGGCCGGTTCGGACAGGCAATAATGCAACATATTGTGTTACCTACTCAGACTTTAATAAATAATTTGATTGGATTAATTGTTAGATCATACATCTACTATTATTATACTAACGCTAGAAAGTAGGAGCCATAAGCTCCCATGTCTCGTCTATGTAAACAATTTGAAGCATAGGTAGCAATAATAGTTAATATTAGTAGGTACCTATTTAGTTTACACATAATATCATAATAATATTTGATATATGATGTATCTGAATCAGTGGCGGACTGGGAGATTGTCGGCCCAGGGGGAAATACAGCTTAGCGGCCCTAAATATTTTACTATATTATTACTATTTCAGTTGTGATTTTATAAATAATATGAATATTTTATTACTATAATTTAAAATAAATGTAAATTTTACTTGTAGAACTATTTAAAAAAAAAAAAGGTGGGCAAGTGGGTGTCGCTCTGCTGTACAGTAGGTTACAAGTGGGTCACTGTATAATGGATGATATTAAATTTGAATTCAACGATATAATATCATTGTATAAGAAAAACGATTCTGAGCGGAGACGGTATGTCAGTCTTTATATTTTACAATGTTATTATTAATTATACCTGGTCAATTGAACTAATATTATAAATTACAACAAAATAACTAAAATAGTTATTAGATTCTGAGCGGAGCGAGGAAGCTATAGTGGTTACTGGTTTTACAATGGTGTTTACTTTATTTTTTTTTTTTATATCCTGTATACAAAATATCTACCAGAAGGAGTGCTTTTGGAATCAACATATAGTACCTATCTTTTATCTTTATCTCCTTATCTTTTAGCAAATTGGGTCAAGATGGTACTTTATAAACGTAATATTTCGATTTTCTCAATAGTTATTTAATGCCACAGGAAAAACCACCGACAAATTATGAAAAACCGCTAAAAATGGTATTTTAATTTCTAACGCTTTGTTTATCACCATAGAAAAGAATAAAAATTAATAATACCTATTATAATATAAATTCAACTTACAGGATATAATAATTAATAATAACAATATCCAAACTTACAAACCGTCTTCGCTCAGAATCTTTTTTCCTATACAATAATATTATATCATTGAATTCAAGTTTAATACAAATTACAATCCTTTATACATTGATCCACTTGTAACCTACTGTACAGCAGAGTGACATCCACTTACCCACTTTTTTATTTTTTTTTTTTATTCGTTTCCATGGTGATAAGCAAAGCATTAGAATTTAGAAGTTAAAACCCCGTTTGTAGCGGTTTTTCGTAATTTATCGGTGGTTTTTCCTGTTTCATTAAATAACTATTGAGAAAGTCGAAAAATTACGACTCTAAAGTACAATCTTGATCCAATTTTCTAAAAGATAAGATACTATATTATGTTTAAATCGAAGCACTCCTTCTGGTAGAATATGTTGTATACAGAATAAAAAAAAAAAATAAACATCAATGTAAAACCACCGGCTTCCTCGCTCCGCTCAGAATCTAATAATAATATTACAATGATATTAAATGATACAATGATACAATGATACAATAATATTATAATGATAATAATTCAACTTACAGGCTATAATAAATAATAAAAATATACAATATCCAGACTGCCAAACCGTCTCAAACTGTATGAAATAATATTAGAGTCTTAAGTTAAAATTAATATTTAATATCCAACTATCATATTCTTATACATCAAGTATACCCAGTGGCGTACACAAGGGGGGGGGGGTGTTCAACCCCCCCCCTTTAGTATTTTTTCAGTTTACGTAATAACGTAAAAATGTATAATAAAAATATTATATTCCAAATTATACTCCATTATATTATAACTTATAAGCAACCCAGTTTGTTGTTATAATATATTGTAGATATTATTGATAACTTGTCACAAATTAATGAAATTATTGGGAAATTTGTTCAAACACAAACATGAGGGTCGACAATCGTGTAATCCGATATAATATGCCTTAATAGCTATCTCAGTATAAAATCTATTTCTCAGTTTTCAATCAAATTCCTGCCTCTTTGGACGTTTAGTAAATTGTACTTACTGTTTAAATATTTTATAAAACAATAAAAATGAAAAGAATAAACGAATATTTTTCTAACTCACTAATTTGTGATACAATTAACTCGGAGGAACCAGGTAAATATTTAATACATTATACAGTGCTCGAAATGGAAAATTTTCTGAACCGGAACGCTTTTTTTTGAGTACATACCATAGAATTGGGGGCTTCACCCAACCAAAATTACTAACCCTTTTTTAATAATAAATAAGTTGTGTCTATTATTTTATGAAACTCACATTATATTTTCAGCCCTTTTAAAAATTTAAATATATTTTTACCATCATTCGAAAGTGGCCAATTTTTTGGATTCAATTTTTCAATATTATCAAGTAAGTTTTTAAACGTTTTTTCATTGTCTTGGCGATTTTTTTCATTACGACTGACATTTGATGAACTGGAAGTCATCATTCGAGATTTTAAATTATTAGCTAGGCTTTTGTAAAATTGTGCAGAATTTATTTTAGGAACTTTGCCACTGTGTAATATTACATTTTTATACGACATTTTGTTCTTTATTTCTTTTAATGCGTCAGTTAGTTTTGGACCCGGATCGGTTGCCATAGAATCTAATACACGTATTGTTGTTCTTATAGATTTATCAGCGTCTACTAACGTAATACTACGTTTTTGTAAATATTCTGATAAATCTCCTAATTCGTCTAAAGCATCAGACATGGTATTTAAATTACTAACAAATTCTATACTTGTTATCATTTTAAACAATCCACAGTATTTACTTCTTTCATTAGAGTCTCTGGTAGGGTCCATTGAAGCCAAGTTGAAATGTTCACACAAATTATTTAAGACTGCATTAACTGTCCGTTTGCTTGATGCTACCCATCGAACTGAAAAAATTCTACCAATTTTCAAAATTTGTACTTCTAATGAAATAGCAGCATTTTTTAAACTCGTTTTGGTTTTTAGGTGACAGTAAAAATTTGTTTGAACCGGAACGATAAACGTATTTTTTTTACGAACCGGAACGCTAAAAATTTTTTTGTCGTGAACCGGAACTGCGTTCCGGTGCGTTCCGGTCCATTTCGAGCCCTGGATCTGAATGAGCTGATTGATGTGCGCAAGTGTGTGGCAAACCGTCGGATATTATGTAGGTAGGTACCTAGTATTAAAAAAGTAACCCATCTTATATGGTTGAATATTAATTATTATTGTTATTGGGCAATTGGTATATTGACCTTAAAATATAAGGAGCACACAATTGGTATAGGCACTGATCTAAAATATAAGCTGCGCAGTGCGCAATTGGTATAATTATGACCCTTAAATAAACGAAGAAGAGCAATGAACGCTAAAATAAATTAAATGAACGAAAAAAATTGCCTAAACAGAACACCTTAAAATGACACGTTTGTAGAGGCCTTATATTAAGTACTAATTAGCTATTAATAGCCTGTATCAAGTAATTTCTTTTTCTTTTAGTAATACTGTATACCTGCTCAATATTGAACCAATTTTTGCCATAAACATCTCATAT